TCCTCACTGTCGTCGCTCAAGCCGAGCCATGTTGAGCTCCCACCACTGACCGTCTCTGACACCGTCATTTCAACGAAAAATGACAGAAAATACACCACATCCAGTCAATCACCAAGCAAATCAGTCAGAGAATAAACAAATATAAAAAAAATCAATTTGTACAAACAAAATCCCGAGAAAATCGGGACCCTGTCACAAGCTAAAATAGGGCACTTAAACCCTATTTTCTCAAAAAAAAAAATAGCAAGTCATCACCAAAAATCAATGAGGGGAGCAGATTAAAGGGGAGACAAGCAACATTAACAGGGGCAGAGAGGAAAAAGAAAATCAGGGAGAGAGAACAAAGAAGAAAAAAAATAAAAATCAGAGAAAAAAACATTCGGGCGAGAGATAAAAATCGAACAAAAAAATAACCATCAGTACACAAAATGAGAAAAAAAGGGGGGGGAAACTGAGAGGGAGAGGAGAAGGCTCACCTACCTCGACGTTCGTCGGTCATCTCGAGGGTTATCGGAGTCAAAGAAACCGAAGGGATTTCCCTAGATCTACGATTCTAGGGACCATTTTTGGTTAAAAGAAGCATGGATTCGTAACCATGGCGAAGAGGTGCTTCGGACTGTGTTTTTTTCTCTCTTCCTCAACGTCGGCGGATGACGGTTGTTGCTGGTCAACGACGACCGGTGTGGCGGAGGCCCATCGGATTATGGAAATAAAGCTTCCAATTGAAGCTTTTGAGAGATATATATCTCTTGCTCTCTCTCTTTCAAATAAGGAAATGAAGTAAATGATAGGGTGAGCCGGTTTAGGCGTTAGTTCTTCCCTTATATATGCCATGCAAAACGACGTCGTTCTGGGGGGCTGGAGAGCAATTTAGCGTGTGGGTAAACTCCAACTTGGGTCCTCTGTGGTTTGTAACCTTTCCATTCCAATCACTAATGAAATTGTTTTTGCTTTCTATTGTTTCGAGCTCCTTATTTATTTTATGTTAAATTTTAGTCATGTATGTTTGTTATTATATTTGTTTAAGTATTTAGAATTTGGGCTGTTGATTTTATGTGCTATGCAATTTGATCACTTGTATTTATCAATGCTTAAAATGACAATTTACGCTTCGAGGTCTTGGGCTTAGTTCTGTGTTCATCTTGGTCACTAACTTTGACTTCTTGTTAACTTGGATTTTATCTCCAGTTTAGTCCATGCTGTTTTGAATATATTGAGTTTTAATTTATGTATTTATTGGATTAATAGAAAATTAGAGAAAGAATTACCAATACCCCTGTCATTGCACCAGCAATCAACAAAGCCAAAGCCTCACTCATTTTCACTACCATTCAGCTCGCAACCCTCAATAACATACTTGACTTCGAAAACCTCTCTATTTATAGGCTTAAAATTAGAGTAAAAATATCTAAAAACAAAGAATTAATTCAGTCATAAACGGACTGCCTCATACAATTAAAAAGAGAGGATTAAATGATCTGTTTGTAATCTCTTTAATGGACTGCCTCATACAGTTTAAAGCTAGTAATTTTATTAATTAATAACTCCTCTAATATTGAACTGTTCAAGTTATTCGATCTAGTAAAAAGATTACTGCTGCTTGCAGCTCGTCGTTTATAGTGCTAATACCAAAGACTGATAACGCCAGGAGGATAATCGATTTCCGTTCTATCAGCCTCTACGTACAAAATAATCTCAAGCTCACAAGTGATACTCGGTTTGTGATCACAAAAGGAAGACAAATTACTGGTATTGTGCTTCTTGCAGACAAAATCATACATTCTATGCTGAAATCTTTAGTCCAAGGCTTGCAGATTTGTCTTCGAAGAGAGGCCTTGGGACTCTGTTACATGGGATTTTCCTCCATTATAAATGGAGGCAATGGATCGACACATCAGATTTTTTTTTTACAATGAAAGTATGAATGGCAAATACTTTCATGAACAGTCGTTGTAGGCTTTACCACCTGCAAATCCTTTTCTTTTTTTATCATAATTCCCCAGCTATATCTTTCATGTCCATAAAGAGTACATTTGGCAAACCATATTCCTAAGCTGGAATGCTACGGCCTTTTTTGTCCTCCTGAATCAAAGTGATTTGAGTACTAATTAGACGGGCAAATAATAGAGAAAGTTCAATCTAATTGGATTGACCTGAAGTATTTGATTTAGCCCTAAAATTTTGAGAAACAAAAAACTGGAAAAAGATAGGGAGTCTGTCAGACAGCTGCGTGACCATCCCAGCTAGTCAAAGCCAGCTGAGAACGATCCTCTGCGGTCCTGGTGAGATCAACATCTAGAACCACAAAGACCAGTAATCACGCTCTGATCACACAGCCACTGTTCATCAACCAGACTTGGAATCCTGTCTCCTTAGAACTCAAGGATACAGAGGTACGAGCCTATAGAACAGATCCTGTTCAAGTAAGGTCGTACCCTATTAGTTCCCGATTCCAAGTTAAATACCCTTCACGTTAGTCTTTCCTCTTCGTTGTGGGATTTTGTTCATCTTCCGACAAAATAGTCGGTGTTTTAACCTACGCGTGTCTTTCATTATCTACTTCAGCCTTAAAAGGAGCGAGTTAATTTACCAAAAAGTATAATATAATACATCATCCCGGCTATAACAATATTTGTATCACTCGAAAACTCATGGATTATTATTAGCCCGTTTAATGCTTTCTTTATAGTATTTAGCCCTAATTTTGAATTCTATTTATTATGATAAATTAAATGAATAATTATTAATTTATCTTTTCTTTTTTGTTTTAATCGTCAAATTAAATTTTTAATAAAAGCATCGTTAATATTAGTTTTTATAATTTAATAATTATATCTTAAATATTTAACGACAAAATTAAAGTCATTTTTTATTTAAAATTTCCGTATTATTTTCTATTTCATTTAATCAATATACATATATAATTTTTAAATAAATTTATTTAAACTAATTAGACGAAAATACGTGTCAACATCCCATCAGTCTAAATAACACCATTTGACCTGAACAAATTAAGTGTTTCATCGGAGAGTAAGGGAATTAAAACCTAGGACCCTTTAAATGAAGGATCATGCATTTATCTATTATCTATTAAGTTAAATGTAAAACAAAATTTCATCAAAATTAATACTTTAATAAATTTTATCACTATCTTAAAATTATATTTAAATTGTATTAGAGAGGATTGAATCGGAGATATTAGTAAAATACTTAATCATTGTTATATAATTATTAGTTTTAACAGATGAATTTTCCTCTTTCAGTTGATTCTGCTTAAATATTAGAAGTGTAGTATTAGGATTCGTCCTTTTTTTCTCTTTTTCTTTAACTGTCATTAGTCTTTTTTGGTTTTTTATCTTTGTGATCAACGACGATATTAATTTTGGTGTTAGTCATCGACCGTCGATATTCATTGTTTTTTCTTTTATTTATTATAATATATCTTTATTTCTTCTTATTTTTTATTTTTAATAATTATGCCTTTATGACACGTCTTCTTATGTCTTTATGTCGTGTTTTCTTCTGTTTGATCGTTGTTTTCATTTTTTCTTTTTTTTAGGGTTGGATTTAACATCACCACGACTGATCAAGATGACACTTATTTGTTATCATGTTGATTTTCTCTGCTTTTGACCCTCGGATTGAATTTGGATACGTGATTTGCGTTTGTGAATAGTATTTTCACGTCGTTCGATTTTGATTTGTGATTTATTGGTGTTCTTTCAATAGTTTTATCCCTTTTGAGGTTCGTTTACCGATGTAATTAGATCTATTTGTATCTACCGTTTGTTCGAGTTTATTTGATTAGGTTTTTTTAACTTTTTTCTTGTATGGTCCTCATGTGATCTTAAGTGACTATTTTTATTGTGTTTAGAAAAATGTCTTTATTATTTGTTTAGTTTACGATTTTGGTTGTAAATCTTTATTATAATTTAGATATTTTCTATTTTTAATAAAATTAACGACTTCTATCAAAAAATATATATAATTATTATATTTTTAACAAATTGATATTTAATTTGAATTACTACTAAAATTGAAGATCAAACAGTAATATTTTTATTACATTTTAACCAAATTGGAAAGAGTTTGGTTGTGACAACTTTTAGCAGTTCACCTCTTCTAATTAAAACGAATAGTCATAATCGGTTGTTTTGGGGCGGAGAAATAGAAAGTAGACGAGTTGAAGATGACAATGAAAAATCCTCGAGAGAAAGAAAGCCTGCAAGATAGAAAAAGTCTTTTGCATTGTCAGTCTTGCATGATGACTTACATGTAGGCCTTAATGTAGGTATCAAACCTAGTGTTACCTTAACCTTATAACAAAACCGATAGAAATAATAATCATCACACTAGGATCCTTCATTTAAAGGGTCCTAGGTTTTAATTCCTTTACTCTCCGATGAAACACTTAATTTGTTTAGGTCAATGGTCTTATTTAGATAAACATACGTATTTTCGTCTAATTACTTTAAATAGATTTATTTAAAAATTTATATATGTATATTGATTAAATGAAATAGAAAATAATATGAAAATTTTAAATGAAAAAATCACTTTAATTTTGTCGTTAAATATTTAAGAAATAATTATTAAATTAGAAAAACTAATATTAACGATGCTTTTATTAAAAATTTAATTTGACGATTAAAACAAAAAAGAAAAGATAAATTAATAATTATTCATTTAATTTATCATAATAAATAGAATTCAAAATTAGGGCTAAATACTATAAAGAAAGCATTAAACGGGCTAATAATAATCCATGAGTTTTCGAGTGATACAAATATTGTTATAGCCGGGATGATGTATTATATTATACTTTTTGGTAAATTAACTCGCTCCTTTTAAGGCTAAAGTAGATAATGAAAGACACGCGTAGGTTAAAACACCGACTATTTTGTCGGAAGATGAACAAAATCCCACAACGAAGAGGAAAGACTAACGTGAAGGGTATTTAACTTGGAATCGGGAACTAATAGGGTACGACCTTACTTGAACAGGATCTGTTCTATTGGCTCGTACCTCTGTATCCTTGAGTTCTAAGGAGACAGGATTCCAAGTCTGGTTGATGAACAGTGGCTGTGTGATCAGAGCGTGATTACTGGTCTTTGTGGTTCTAGATGTTGATCTCACCAGGACCGCAGAGGATCGTTCTCAGCTGGCTTTGACTAGCTGGGATGGTCACGCAGCTGTCTGACAGACTCCCTATCTTTTTCCAGTTTTTTGTTTCTCAAAATTTTTAGGGCTAAATCAAATACTTCAGGTCAATCCAATTAGATTGAACTTTCTCTATTATTTGCCCGTCTAATTAGTACTCAAATCACTTTGATTCAGGAGGACAAAAAAGGCCGTAGCATTCCAGCTTAGGAATATGGTTTGCCAAATGTACTCTTTATGGACATGAAAGATATAGCTGGGGAATTATGATAAAAAAAGAAAAGGATTTGCAGGTGGTAAAGCCTACAACGACTGTTCATGAAAGTATTTGCCATTCATACTTTCATTGTAAAAAAAAAATCTGATGTGTCGATCCATTGCCTCCATTTATAATGGAGGAAAATCCCATGTAACCGAGTCCCAAGGCCTCTCTTCGAAGACAAATCTGCAAGCCTTGGACTAAAGATTTCAGCATAGAATGTATGATTTTGTCTGCAAGAAGCACAATACCAGTAATTTGTCTTCCTTTTGTGATCACAAACCGAGTATCACTTGTGAGCTTGAGATTATTTTGTACGTAGAGGCTGATAGAACGGAAATCGATTATCCTCCTGGCGTTATCAGTCTTTGGTATTAGCACTATAAACGACGAGCTGCAAGCAGCAGTAATCTTTTTACTAGATTGAATAACTTGAACAGTTCAATATTAGATGAGTTATTAATTAAAAAATTACGAGCTTTAAACTGAATGAGGCAGTCCATTAAAGAGATTACAAACAGATCATTTAATCCTCTCTTTTTAATTGTATGAGGCAGTCCGTTTATGACTGAATTAATTCTTTGTTTTTAGATATTTTTACTCTAATTTTAAGCCTATAAATAGAGAGGTTTTCGAAGTCAAGTATGTTATTGAGGGTTGCGAGCTGAATGGTAGTGAAAATGAGTGAGGCTTTGGCTTTGTTGATTGCTGGTGCAATGACAGGGGTATTGGTAATTCTTTCTCTAATTTTCTATTAATCCAATAAATACATAAATTAAAACTCAATATATTCAAAACAGCATGGACTAAACTGGAGATAAAATCCAAGTTAACAAGAAGTCAAAGTTAGTGACCAAGATGAACACAGAACTAAGCCCAAGACCTCGAAGCATAAATTGCCATTTTAAGCATTGATAAATACAAGTGATCAAATTGCATAGCACATAAAATCAACAGCCCAAATTCTAAATACTTAAACAAATATAATAACAAACATACATGACTAAAATTTAACATAAAATAAATAAGGAGCTCGAAACAATAGAAAGCAAAAACAATTTCATTAGTGATTGGAATGGAAAGGTTACAAACCACAGAGGACCCAAGTTGGAGTTTACCCACACGCTAAAGTGCTCTCCAGCCCCCCAGAACGACGTCGTTTTGCATGGCATATATAAGGGAAGAACTAACGCCTAAACCGGCTCACCCTATCATTTACTTCATTTCCTTATTTGAAAGAGAGAGAGCAAGAGATATATATCTCTCAAAAGCTTCAATTGGAAGCTTTATTTCCATAATCCGATGGGCCTCCGCCACACCGGTCGTCGTTGACCGGCAACAACCGTCATCCGCCGACGTTGAGGAAGAGAGAAAAAAACACAGTCCGAAGCACCTCTTCGCCATGGTTACGAATCCATGCTTCTTTTAACCAAAAATGGTCCCTAGAATCGTAGATCTAGGGAAATCCCTTCGGTTTCTTTGACTCCGATGACCCTCGAGATGACCGACGAACGTCGAGGTAGGTGAGCCTTCTCCTCTCCCTCTCGGTTTTCCCCCCCTTTTTTTTCTCATTTTGTGTACTGATGGTTATTTTTTTGTTTGATTTTTATCTCTCGTCCGAATGTTTTTTTCTCTGATTTTTATTTTTTTTCTTCTTTGTTCTCTCTCCCTGATTTTCTTTTTCCTCTCTACCCCTGTTAATGTTGCTTGTCTCCCCTTTAATATGCTCCCCTCATTGATTTTTGGTGATGACTTGCTATTTTTTTTTTTTGAGAAAATAAGGTTTAAGTGCCCTATTTTAGCTTGTGACAGGGTCCCGATTTTCTCGGGATTTTGTTTGTACAAATTGATTTTTTTTATATTTGTTTATTCTTTGACTGATTTGCTTGGTGATTGACTGGATGTGGTGTATTTTCTGTCATTGTTCGTTGAAATGACGGTGTCAGAGACGGTCAGTGGTGGGAGCTCAACATGGCTCAGCTTGAGCGACGACAGTGAGGAACAGCTTGTAAAATCCCAAATTAGGGTCAATGACTAAATAATAAATTGTGAAAACTATGTTTTCGATTTCAAAATAAGTTAAAAGTTCAAGGACTTAAATAGGAATTTTCAATATTGGATTAAATGGTAATTATGGAAAGTATGAAGGGTATAATGGTAATTTTATAAGAAATATATTTTTATCCCTTTTAATAAGAGATACACACGTGAAAAATGGGGGAGAATTATCGAGATCATTTTCTTCATTCTTCCTTGTTCCTTCTTTCTCCCGTTGCGCTAGCTACAAAGGTAAGTTGATTTCAGATGTTTAATTCTTGGATTTAGAAGTTGGTTTTGATTATTTGGGTGTTATATAAGCTTAAAACATCAAGAAAAAAGAATTAGAAAGGAAATTATGTTTACAACCAGTATACCAACAAGCTATTCATACATATCCCATAGACATTTTCAAATTCATGTATATTATAAGCTTAAGGAAAACTTATATAAGCTTAAAACATCAAGAAAAGAGAATTAGAAAGGAAATATTAGGGATTTAGAAATGAAATTTTGATATAAAGAGGTTTTTAAAGTTCTATGGATGAATTTAACTTGTCATTAGAAGGAATAAGAAGATTGAAGCATTAGAAATGAATTTAGGAAACATGGAAAGTTTGATGAAATTCTTTGATTTAAGAATTATGGTTAATTATGAAAGATGATGAAGTGTTATAGTGTTATAAGAAGGTTTATATATGTATAGATAAGTTTTAAGGCATAAGGAGGGGTTAACAAATAGAATTTGGGGGCAAAGTGTTAAAGTTTCGGGTGAACAAGTCTGTTATGTGCAGGGTGTACCGGTACACTATGAATGGGTACCGATACACTAAGACCAATTTTGAAGAACGTCTTCATGGTGTATCGATACATAAGTAGTGTATCGATACCCCCTTGAAATGAAAATTTCGAATGTAATTTTTGTACCGATACATAGGCAGGTTACCGATACACCAGTGAAGGGATGTACTGATACCTTATAGTGTGTACCGATACTGATACTCTATAGTGTGTACCGATACACTTCAAAAGGAAAATGGAAATAAATCTTTCTTTTAGTTTAAGAAATGCAATATTAGAGTATGCCAAGTGGAATGCTGATATGTATATTATACGTGTGATTGTGTAGATATCAATCGAGAGTAATGTCCGGACAATGTGTCAAGTATTAGTCATCAAGAAGAGATAAGGATTTGGTATTGATTAGTGAGGCAAGGTGAGTGCATATTAGTTATTATATGACGATGAATGGAAATAAGAATTGCGATGAGTCTATTTCTTATAGTAGTATGCATAAATTTATGAACATGAGCATGTGTTTGATATAAACATATGTGATTATATATGTTATATGATTGTGTGAATGCATGTTAATGTGTTGAATTTATGTGATATGTGATCATATATGATACATGATATATGTGAAAAATAAGAGAATAAAGTATAAACTATATGATATAAATGATTTCATAAGAAAGTGAAATAAGCTATGTGATAACAGCTATGTGATATGATATATGTGATCATATGAGAAAGTGACATGAGATTATATGCATATGTGATATGAACATGTGAATGATATGATAAGAAGCTATGTGATAAGAAGATATGAGTTTATGTGATATGAAAATGTATATGTGCAATGACATAAGTGATAATGCTCATGTTATGTTAAATGAGAGCTAGGGGTATAGTTGGCATGTCAATAGTCGAGGGTTCTACGTGGTCCTTCGGGATATATATGTAATTATGTGGAACATATATGTGGTACTTTGGTACACTTATTTGGTCCATTGTATTATGTATATGGTTCTTAAGGAGTGGCCATTCGGGACAAATTCAGTGCCCCTAGTGGGAATTATACGAGCCGTGGTGACAATATATGTGCACAACCTCAATGTACTCACATATCTTTAGTTCTCACATATGTACATGGGCTAATAAAAAGATAACAATAAATACAATATATGTGATTTATATGCATTGTGTTATGAAATGTGTTACAAGATTATATGATAAAAGAATTAATGATAATAGTATGAATAATGGTAAAATGTCACTACAAGAAAATATACCTTTAATGACACACGCTAATTTATGACTTGCAAAAAATGTGTCATAAAAAATGTGACGTTTTTTAAAATCTGAACGATTTATGACTTACAATAATGTGTGTCATATTTAATAGTCATAATCCAAAAAATTTACAAAAACACGGAGTACACTTTTAATTGTGTGTTATCTGTAAAAGTCGTCTTTTAATTTCCCCCATTATTTTCATTTTTTCCCGCTTCTTCCCCCTTTTCTTTTTTGTTTTAATCGTCAAATTAAATTTTTAATAAAAGCATCGTTAATATTAGTTTTTATAATTTAATAATTATATCTTAAATATTTAACGACAAAATTAAAGTCATTTTTTATTTAAAATTTCCGTATTATTTTCTATTTCATTTAATCAATATACATATATAATTTTTAAATAAATTTATTTAAACTAATTAGACGAAAATACGTGTCAACATCCCATCAGTCTAAATAACACCATTTGACCTGAACAAATTAAGTGTTTCATCGGAGAGTAAGGGAATTAAAACCTAGGACCCTTTAAATGAAGGATCATGCATTTATCTATTATCTATTAAGTTAAATGTAAAACAAAATTTCATCAAAATTAATACTTTAATAAATTTTATCACTATCTTAAAATTATATTTAAATTGTATTAGAGAGGATTGAATCGGAGATATTAGTAAAATACTTAATCATTGTTATATAATTATTAGTTTTAACAGATGAATTTTCCTCTTTCAGTTGATTCTGCTTAAATATTAGAAGTGTAGTATTAGGATTCGTCCTTTTTTTCTCTTTTTCTTTAACTGTCATTAGTCTTTTTTTGTTTTTTATCTTTGTGATCAACGACGATATTAATTTTGGTGTTAGTCATCGACCGTCGATATTCATTGTTTTTTCTTTTATTTATTATAATATATCTTTATTTCTTCTTATTTTTTATTTTTAATAATTATGCCTTTATGACACGTCTTCTTATGTCTTTATGTCGTGTTTTCTTCTGTTTGATCGTTGTTTTCATTTTTTCTTTTTTTTAGGGTTGGATTTAACATCACCACGACTGATCAAGATGACACTTATTTGTTATCATGTTGATTTTCTCTGCTTTTGACCCTCGGATTGAATTTGGATACGTGATTTGCGTTTGTGAATAGTATTTTCACGTCGTTCGATTTTGATTTGTGATTTATTGGTGTTCTTTCAATAGTTTTATCCCTTTTGAGGTTCGTTTACCGATGTAATTAGATCTATTTGTATCTACCGTTTGTTCGAGTTTATTTGATTAGGTTTTTTTAACTTTTTTCTTGTATGGTCCTCATGTGATCTTAAGTGACTATTTTTATTGTGTTTAGAAAAATGTCTTTATTATTTGTTTAGTTTACGATTTTGGTTGTAAATCTTTATTATAATTTAGATATTTTCTATTTTTAATAAAATTAACGACTTCTATCAAAAAATATATATAATTATTATATTTTTAACAAATTGATATTTAATTTGAATTACTACTAAAATTGAAGATCAAACAGTAATATTTTTATTACATTTTAACCAAATTGGAAAGAGTTTGGTTGTGACAACTTTTAGCAGTTCACCTCTTCTAATTAAAACGAATAGTCATAATCGGTTGTTTTGGGGCGGAGAAATAGAAAGTAGACGAGTTGAAGATGACAATGAAAAATCCTCGAGAGAAAGAAAGCCTGCAAGATAGAAAAAGTCTTTTGCATTGTCAGTCTTGCATGATGACTTACATGTAGGCCTTAATGTAGGTATCAAACCTAGTGTTACCTTAACCTTATAACAAACCGATAGAAATAATAATCATCACACTAGGATCCTTCATTTAAAGGGTCCTAGGTTTTAATTCCTTTACTCTCCGATGAAACACTTAATTTGTTTAGGTCAATGGTCTTATTTAGATAAACATACGTATTTTCGTCTAATTACTTTAAATAGATTTATTTAAAATTTATATATGTATATTGATTAAATGAAATAGAAAATAATATGAAAATTTTAAATGAAAAAATCACTTTAATTTTGTCGTTAAATATTTAAGAAATAATTATTAAATTAGAAAAACTAATATTAACGATGCTTTTATTAAAAATTTAATTTGACGATTAAAACAAAAAGAAAAGATAAATTAATAATTATTCATTTAATTTATCATAATAAATAGAATTCAAATTAGGGCTAAATACTATAAAGAAAGCATTAAACGGGCTAATAATAATCCATGAGTTTTCGAGTGATACAAATATTGTTATAGCCGGGATGATGTATTATATTATACTTTTTGGTAAATTAACTCGCTCCTTTTAAGGCTAAAGTAGATAATGAAAGACACGCGTAGGTTAAAACACCGACTATTTTGTCGGAAGATGAACAAAATCCCACAACGAAGAGGAAAGACTAACGTGAAGGGTATTTAACTTGGAATCGGGAACTAATAGGGTACGACCTTACTTGAACAGGATCTGTTCTATTGGCTCGTACCTCTGTATCCTTGAGTTCTAAGGAGACAGGATTCCAAGTCTGGTTGATGAACAGTGGCTGTGTGATCAGAGCGTGATTACTGGTCTTTGTGGTTCTAGATGTTGATCTCACCAGGACCGCAGAGGATCGTTCTCAGCTGGCTTTGACTAGCTGGGATGGTCACGCAGCTGTCTGACAGACTCCCTATCTTTTTCCAGTTTTTTGTTTCTCAAATTTTTAGGGCTAAATCAAATACTTCAGGTCAATCCAATTAGATTGAACTTTCTCTATTATTTGCCCGTCTAATTAGTACTCAAATCACTTTGATTCAGGAGGACAAAAAAGGCCGTAGCATTCCAGCTTAGGAATATGGTTTGCCAAATGTACTCTTTATGGACATGAAAGATATAGCTGGGGAATTATGATAAAAAAAGAAAAGGATTTGCAGGTGGTAAAGCCTACAACGACTGTTCATGAAAGTATTTGCCATTCATACTTTCATTGTAAAAAAAAAATCTGATGTGTCGATCCATTGCCTCCATTTATAATGGAGGAAAATCCCATGTAACCGAGTCCCAAGGCCTCTCTTCGAAGACAAATCTGCAAGCCTTGGACTAAAGATTTCAGCATAGAATGTATGATTTTGTCTGCAAGAAGCACAATACCAGTAATTTGTCTTCCTTTTGTGATCACAAACCGAGTATCACTTGTGAGCTTGAGATTATTTTGTACGTAGAGGCTGATAGAACGGAAATCGATTATCCTCCTGGCGTTATCAGTCTTTGGTATTAGCACTATAAACGACGAGCTGCAAGCAGCAGTAATCTTTTACTAGATTGAATAACTTGAACAGTTCAATATTAGATGAGTTATTAATTAAAAAATTACGAGCTTTAAACTGAATGAGGCAGTCCATTAAAGAGATTACAAACAGATCATTTAATCCTCTCTTTTTAATTGTATGAGGCAGTCCGTTTATGACTGAATTAATTCTTTGTTTTTAGATATTTTTACTCTAATTTTAAGCCTATAAATAGAGAGGTTTTCGAAGTCAAGTATGTTATTGAGGGTTGCGAGCTGAATGGTAGTGAAAATGAGTGAGGCTTTGGCTTTGTTGATTGCTGGTGCAATGACAGGGGTATTGGTAATTCTTTCTCTAATTTTCTATTAATCCAATAAATACATAAATTAAAACTCAATATTCAAAACAGCATGGACTAAACTGGAGATAAAATCCAAGTTAACAAGAAGTCAAAGTTAGTGACCAAGATGAACACAGAACTAAGCCCAAGACCTCGAAGCATAAATTGCCATTTTAAGCATTGATAAATACAAGTGATCAAATTGCATAGCACATAAAATCAACAGCCCAAATTCTAAATACTTAAACAAATATAATAACAAACATACATGACTAAAATTTAACATAAAATAAATAAGGAGCTCGAAACAATAGAAAGCAAAAACAATTTCATTAGTGATTGGAATGGAAAGGTTACAAACCACAGAGGACCCAAGTTGGAGTTTACCCACACGCTAAAGTGCTCTCCAGCCCCCCAGAACGACGTCGTTTTGCATGGCATATATAAGGGAAGAACTAACGCCTAAACCGGCTCACCCTATCATTTACTTCATTTCCTTATTTGAAAGAGAGAGAGCAAGAGATATATATCTCTCAAAAGCTTCAATTGGAAGCTTTATTTCCATAATCCGATGGGCCTCCGCCACACCGGTCGTCGTTGACCGGCAACAACCGTCATCCGCCGACGTTGAGGAAGAGAGAAAAAAACACAGTCCGAAGCACCTCTTCGCCATGGTTACGAATCCATGCTTCTTTTAACCAAAAATGGTCCCTAGAATCGTAGATCTAGGGAAATCCCTTCGGTTTCTTTGACTCCGATGACCCTCGAGATGACCGACGAACGTCGAGGTAGGTGAGCCTTCTCCTCTCCCTCTCGGTTTTCCCCCCTTTTTTTCTCATTTTGTGTACTGATGGTTATTTTTTTGTTTGATTTTTATCTCTCGTCCGAATGTTTTTTCTCTGATTTTTATTTTTTTCTTCTTTGTTCTCTCTCCCTGATTTCTTTTTCCTCTCTACCCCTGTTAATGTTGCTTGTCTCCCCTTTAATATGCTCCCCTCATTGATTTTTGGTGATGACTTGCTATTTTTTTTTTTGAGAAAATAAGGTTTAAGTGCCCTATTTTAGCTTGTGACAGGGTCCCGATTTTCTCGGGATTTTGTTTGTACAAATTGATTTTTTTTATATTTGTTTATTCTTTGACTGATTTGCTTGGTGATTGACTGGATGTGGTGTATTTTCTGTCATTGTTCGTTGAAATGACGGTGTCAGAGACGGTCAGTGGTGGGAGCTCAACATGGCTCAGCTTGAGCGACGACAGTGAGGAACAGCTTGTAAAATCCCAAATTAGGGTCAATGACTAATAATAAATTGTGAAAACTATGTTTTCGATTTCAAATAAGTTAAAAGTTCAAGGACTTAAATAGGAATTTTCAATATTGGATTAAATGGTAATTATGGAAAGTATGAAGGGTATAATGGTAATTTTATAAGAAATATATTTTTATCCCTTTTAATAAGAGATACACACGTGAAAAATGGGGGAGAATTATCGAGATCATTTTCTTCATTCTTCCTTGTTCCTTCTTTCTCCCGTTGCGCTAGCTACAAAGGTAAGTTGATTTCAGATGTTTAATTCTTGGATTTAGAAGTTGGTTTTGATTATTTGGGTGTTATATAAGCTTAAAACATCAAGAAAAAAGAATTAGAAAGGAAATTATGTTTACAACCAGTATACCAACAAGCTATTCATACATATCCCATAGACATTTTCAAATTCATGTATATTATAAGCTTAAGGAAAACTTATATAAGCTTAAAACATCAAGAAAAGAGAATTAGAAAGGAAATTATATTAGGGATTTAGAAATGAAATTTTGATATAAAGAGGTTTTTAAAGTTCTATGGATGAATTTAACTTGTCATTAGAAGGAATAAGAAGATTGAAGCATTAGAAATGAATTTAGGAAACATGGAAAGTTTGATGAAATTCTTTGATTTAAGAATTATGGTTAATTATGAAAGATGATGAAGTGTTATAGTGTTATAAGAAGGTTTATATATGTATAGATAAGTTTTAAGGCATAAGGAGGGGTTAACAAATAGAATTTGGGGGCAAAGTGTTAAAGTTTCGGGTGAACAAGTCTGTTATGTGCAGGGTGTACCGGTACACTATGAATGGGTACCGATACACTAAGACCAATTTTGAAGAACGTCTTCATGGTGTATCGATACATAAGTAGTGTATCGATACCCCCTTGAAATGAAAATTTCGAATGTAATTTTTGTACCGATACATAGGCAGGTTACCGATACACCAGTGAAGGGATGTACTGATACCTTATAGTGTGTACCGATACTGATACTCTATAGTGTGTACCGATACACTTCAAAAGGAAAATGGAAATAAATCTTTCTTTTAGTTTAAGAAATGCAATATTAGAGTATGCCAAGTGGAATGCTGATATGTATATTATACGTGTGATTGTGTAGATATCAATCGAGAGTAATGTCCGGACAATGTGTCAAGTATTAGTCATCAAGAAGAGATAAGGATTTGGTATTGATTAGTGAGGCAAGGTGAGTGCATATTAGTTATTATATGACGATGAATGGAAATAAGAATTGCGATGAGTCTATTTCTTATAGTAGTATGCATAAATTTATGAACATGAGCATGTGTTTGATATAAACATATGTGATTATATATGTTATATGATTGTGTGAATGCATGTTAATGTGTTGAATTTATGTGATATGTGATCATATATGATACATGATATATGTGAAAAATAAGAGAATAAAGTATAAACTATATGATATAAATGATTTCATAAGAAAGTGAAATAAGCTATGTGATAACAGCTATGTGATATGATATATGTGATCATATGAGAAAGTGACATGAGATATGCATATGTGATATGAACATGTGAATGATATGATAAGAAGCTATGTGATAAGAAGATATGAGTTTATGTGATATGAAAATGTATATGTGCAATGACATAAGTGATAATGCTCATGTTATGTTAAATGAGAGCTAGGGGTATAGTTGGCATGTCAATAGTCGAGGGTTCTACGTGGTCCTTCGGGATATATATGTAATTATGTGGAACATATATGTGGTACTTTGGTACACTTATTTGGTCCATTGTATTATGTATATGGTTCTTAAGGAGTGGCCATTCGGGACAAATTCAGTGCCCCTAGTGGGAATTATACGAGCCGTGGTGACAATATATGTGCACAACCTCAATGTACTCACATATCTTTAGTTCTCACATATGTACATGGGCTAATAAAAAGATAACAATAAATACAATATATGTGATTTATATGCATTGTGTTATGAAATGTGTTACAAGATTATATGATAAAAGAATTAATGATAATAGTATGAATAATGGTAAAATGTCACTACAAGAAAATATACCTTTAATGACACACGCTAATTTATGACTTGCAAAAAATGTGTCATAAAAAATGTGACGTTTTTTAAAATCTGAACGATTTATGACTTACAATAATGTGTGTCATATTTAATAGTCATAATCCAAAAAATTTACAAAAACACGGAGTACACTTTTAATTGTGTGTTATCTGTAAAAGTCGTCTTTTAATTTCCCCCATTATTTTCATTTTTTCCCGCTTCTTCCCCCTTGATAAACAATTCACGGCGCATGCTTCCCCCTTTTTCTCTTTTTCCCTTTTTCTCTTTGTTGAATTGTATTTTGTTTGATTTAATAAGTTTGATGCTTTTACTTCATATATGTTTGATTTCTTTTTGCGCTTGCGTGTGTAAGAAGTGTAGAGAAGTTACTAGAGAGATCGTTAAGACTTCTCCTTAAAATAGCGGCAAAATCATTTTCCCTTCCTGTCTTAAGCATGTAATTCAATTTTTTTTTTTTGTTTTTAATTGAAATTGAGATATAATTTCATTATCTGGTACAAAAGTTTTAAGGTAACATGTATAAATTTCATAAAGGTTGTAAATATTTGCAGTTTAGGGTAGTTTAATTTTATTTTTTTAGGATTTGGAATGTTTGCGAGTTGGGATGATTTGTGGGGAATTGGTGTAAAGTTATTCTTTTTTGGGGTTCATTTATTCTAGTTTATTGTAATGTTCTTTACTGAT